ACCCCATACAGCCCCCTGCCTATCCCCTTCCCATACACCCCTCACCCTGTACACCCCACCCCATACACCCCACCCCATACAGCCCCCTGCCTATCCCCTTCCCATACACCCCTCACCCTGTACACCCCACCCCATACACCCAAAATCCCATACACCCCTATTGGAGAATAACAGAGTTTTTATTTTTGTGTTTGGGTATAGCAAGTTAGATATTTTATTTTTTTTAATAATTGCGTAGAGGGAGAGAGCTAAACAGGTTTTTTTTATAGATAAATAATTATAGCAAACTTTTATATTTTTTATTATAGATAATAATAAGCAACAGCTGCATTTTGTTTACATATCGGCTATTTTAATATTTCGGTTTTTTTATTTGTTTTGACTTTAGTTTATATATAATATTTTTTACATATTATTTATACAAGGTCGCAACAACTTTTTACACAGTTTTTTTTTTACTTGCTTTACACAATTTTTGCTTTTACAAATTTTGCGTTATTAGGGTTACAGTTAGCCTGACTTTTGCTAACGAACTGTTATGCATTGCATTTTTTTTGTTAGTTTTTTTTTTGCTTTTACACCCCCATCCCCATCCCCAGACAAACCCCATCATCTCCCCCCTTCATCCCCCCCCCGCTCTTGATTTACGGGCTCCAGTCAATCTTGATGCCCTGCCCCCAGTCCCAATGCAGGAGTCATGGGGGCGGCATCAGACGTGGCGCTGAGGAGGGCACAGTGAGCTGGGGAGCCCCAGGGCCGCTGTCACGACGAGGGGCCCTGTGATTGGGGGTATCCGTCCCCTCGCAGGGACGCGCGCGCACACACACACACGAACACTGTTACTCCTGGGGGAATTCTGTGCATCCACGGACACGTAGAATTCATCTGTCCCGCATAATTTTGTTTTTTCCACACAGAAAATACATTCTTCCCAAGAAGTGCTGCAGTTCTGACTTTTTCCCCCAGAGGCCGCTGTGGTGCCAGAGCACCCAGCAGCATGAACACAGTCCGCTGTTCTGGTGCCACAGCGGCCCCTGGGGGGGAAAGGCAGAACTGCAGCACTTCTGGCGCAGAATGTATTTTCTGTGGGGAAAAAATTCTCTGCCTGCCCCGTGGTGCAGAATTCCCCCAGGAGCAGAAGTTCATCACAGCACCTGCCGCAGAGCCAGGTTAGGGCAGAGTGGGGCACCCAGGGCTGCTGGGGGGTCACAGACGGGGGCTCAGGAGCTAGTGGGGTGACAACGTTGAGTCTGGGGAGGGGGGAGGAGGCTGCAGGGACACATGGGGACGGGGGTTGCGGGGACAGGGGCTGATGTGCCTGACTGAATGGGGGAGGCTTGGGTCATCCAGGGTCTGCATGGGGGAGGCTTCCCAGTTCCCTAACAACGCCCCCCCCCCCGAAATAAAACCTTCTGCCGCCCACACCCAACACCTTCCAGGTTCACTCCCAGGCTCCTTCTCTCTCCCTCAATTCCCCCGTTACCCCTGACTCCCCCAAGCCTTTGCACTGCTTCAGTCGGGTGCAGGAAATACAGTTCTGCCATGTGACTTAAATTAATTACTCAAAGTTCTGTGTTAATACACGTAGTGAGGAAACTATTTGTCAAAAAATTTTTACCAGAATCTTTTGGGTTTTTTTTTTGTCAGTATCGTTACGGACACACTTGCTGACAGATATTTTGCAATAACGGACCAAAATAATTGAAACTGGCAGGATTATACTGTGGTATTTTGCCAAAGAAAATATGCAGCATTTTCAAATATTATGTGCACGTTTTAAAAATTTTTGGCGTAGAATTCCCCAGGAGTAAGTAGACCAGGAACCAGGGGAGCCGTGGCAGGCGCAGTGTGAAACGAGGGGTTTGTTCCAGCCCCGGCCCCGTTCGCTGGAGCGAGTCTCTAGCCGGAAAATCCCCCGGGTTTGGGCGTCTCCCCGCTGGCCCCGGAGACGCTAGCGACTGTCCTGGGGGGGCCGAGGAGCCGGCGGAGCTGGGCTGGAGCCGGCGTCACCGCGGCTGCTGTTAAAGCCCGACCCCGTTTCCTCCCGAGTTGAGGGGTCAGCCGGGGGAGGGGCGATAGTGTCGGGGTCCCTCTCTCCGGCTGCTCTGCTCGGGCCGTCTCCGTGGAGCAGGGTCCGGACGGCCCGGGGGGCCCAGGAGACGGGGGGGGCAGCCACAACGGTGAAGCGAGTCTCGCACAGCCCATCCCCCGCAATGTTTTATCCACCAATGCGGCTTCATTTCCCACACCCCAATTTTGGGTCACGGATTTCGGCTCCCCCACTTCTCCTGTGTCCCAGGCGTGCCCCTAACCCAGCCCTCCAGTTATATCTGGCGGCCAGATTAGGAGCATGCCAGGAAATGGGAGAAGTGATCCCATCTCCCCCAGGTGTTACACACTCTCCAGGTCTGGGGACAGGGGGGCTGTGGGGTGCCCAGGGAGGGTTGGGGGGCTGGTTTGTGGTTCTGTGTTCATTACAAATCTGAAGATTAACAGGATGCAAAATAACAAACAGCCGCCTTGGCCTGGCCCGCCCCCTCCCCCGCCTGGTGCCGAGTTGCCCCCCCCAGCCCCCTACGTGTGGGGCTGGGTGACACCAGCTGCAGGAGAGGTATGGGGGGGGTCTATAAGCAGAACGGGTTCTCTGGGGGGGAATCACTCTGTAACCCCCTGGTGGCTGCTCCCTTCCCTGTCGCTCCCGTGATTCCCCCTGGGTTCACACTATGGGGGTGGGGGGAGGGCACCCCCTGCACCCCGGGGGCTCTGCCAAACAGGCTCCTGGCTCACGCTGATCGCGGTGTACAGGATGGGTTCCTGGCGGGCCGGGCCCCCCTGCTTGGCCTGCAGCGCCTGGCGGTTCAGCTTGGTGTAGGTGAGTCCGTTGGCGCCGGGGTCGGGCTCCTGGGGCTGGGAGGGGAGAGAGACACCGGTGTGTGTGTGTGTGTGTGTGTGTGTGTGTGTTGTGTGTGTGTGTGCAACAACTCCCCCCCCACCACACACACATAGCCACACTGCACACACACACATGCAGATTTGCCCCGACACACACTGGTGAGCTTACACCAACAGAGCGCCCCACACCCCAGCGGGAGCTGATGTACACAGCAGCAGAGCAGACCCAGCCCCTCCACCAGGGGGCAGCGATGTCCCCACCACACACACACACACACCCCCTGCTGCACAGCTGCTGTGACACGCTCTGTCCTGTCCAGCGGGGGGCTCTGGGGAGCTTCTCTTCCACCCGCAGGCCCGGGGACTCCAGCATCCCCCCGCCCCACACACTCCAGCCTACAGAGCCCCACGGGGCAGAGATCAGGGAAATCCCCCGCCCCCGGCACCTGCCCCCCATGGAATTCCGCTGACCCTCTGCAAATCTCAGCCCAATGCAAACGTTTAGGAGGAAGGTTTTGGGGGGTCGGGGGAAGGTCAGGGGAGCCGGGGGGGGTGAGTTTGTGGGGTGCAGGGTGAGGCTCTTACTCTGTGTTCTGGGTCTCCCGCCCCTCTCCTCTCTCTGCCCCGATCCTGGGGGGAGCCCTGTTGCTGATCCCCATTGCTCTAGTGGGGCCTGTGCAGGGCCAGATTCGGGGGGGGGGGGCAGGAAGGGGGCTGGATGGTGCATTGGTGCTCGGGGGGGGGGGGTCAGGGAACAGGGGGGCCTTGGCGAGTGGGGGGCACTTACCAGAACATCCAGCTGCTTCCTTTCACCCACAAGGGCGTCTGTGGAACAGAGACACCCCCAGGTGAGCGGCTGAGGCCAGATCAGGGCCCCGGACCCAGCCCCCATCTGAGCCCTTCACAGACTGGCCCTGGGGTGAGGCGGGGTCACTAGCCCCACGGTGCAGCTGGAGAAACTGAGACACAGAGCTGTGCGCGAGCATCCCCAAGGGGGCGCAGTGAGACAGGGCAGAGATGGCTCGTCCCAAAGTGACACGCAGGCTGCACCCCACATCAGCATGTCCTCCCTCCCCCCGCAGGCCGTGGCCTCCAC